TTAGGGACATTTATGGATAAGAATCATGTGTTGAAAATTTTTTGCCAGCTGTCAAAATGATCATCATATTGGAACATATTTTTTTTAATATGTTACTGAGAAAATTTTCAATACACGCTTCTTATACAAAAATGTCCCAGAAATTCAAATTTTCAATAAGAAAAAGGGTTTTCATTTAATAATAAAAAATAAATTGTGATTTTCTTTGTTTTCCAATAGATAAACATACTAATTTTTTTCAAAATTTTGCCCCTCCCTATAGAATTGTGTAACGACGCCCATGTTTGAGGACCTTTTTTTTTAGACCCCAGGGTTGCAAAGTAAAATAAAATCTATCTAATTATTATTATTATTATTATTTTAGGGCTCCGTCAAATATTTCGCTTTTAAAAAAGGTTCCGTCGCCAAAAAAGTTTGAGAAACACTGGGTTAGACTATCTAAAGACCTAAAGCACCGCGTCTATGTAAACAGACCTTACTGTTCAAAAATCCAATACAAACATAGTTAGACACCATAGTTATAAGGCAGGAACCACAAAACTCAAAGAGGACTGGGATACTTACAAATCTCACCTCAGAAAATACAAAAAAATCGTTAGACAAAAACAGAGAGATGCATGAAGATCCTACTGCGAAGAAATCGAAGATTTCCTGCAGGTAGAGAGGCTTCAAAAAGCTCCACACCGAAGCATTGATGCGCTTATCAAAGAGAATGGCATACGAACTGCAAACCTGGAAAATAGCATCAAACGTTTGCTGTCAACACACTTTCCTGACTCGGTGATCACAGATGTGGTCGACTGAGCAAAGGAAGAATACAACCCATCTGTCTACGATTTAAGTCGCCAGGACCTGACGATATCTTTCCAGCTCTACTTCTGTGGGGTCTGGAAGAACTCGTTGGCTGTGAGGTATATCCCCCAGAAATGGAGAGAGGTAAAGGTAGTCTTTATGCCCAAACCTGGAAGGATGGATTACACTGTCCCAAAAATATACCGACTAATTAGGTTGACATCATCTTCGATGATTACATTGGAAACGCTATGCGAAAGGTACATAAGGTATGTGTTGTTTACAAAAACACCACTACACCCAAATCAACATGCATACACCCCAGTCAGATCTACTGATTCAACCCTTTACCCAGTTACTAGCCGGATATACAGATCACTGGATATTAAAGAGTCCGCCTTGGGTTTTTTTAAGAAATAGAAGGTGCTTTTAATAAGACGACCTTCCCAAGATAATACAATCACTAATAACAGGAATGTTCCACAGATGATTAGTGGGTAGATCAGATACACAACATGCTCTCAAAGCGAGCAGTAAACATAAGTGTAGAAGATGTAAATATAAGAGGCTTGGTTGCGAGGGGATGTCCAAGTATTTATTAAGTACGTTTTCAATATGTTTCGTTAACATATATGCAACGTTTTCTTTAGTTAAAACATACTGGATGTCTATTGTTTTGTCCATGAACCTCTCTCTTACGTAATGGTAATAAACATTTATGTACTTGCTTCGCTGGTGTAACACTGGGCTTAATACTATATGGATAGATGCTTGTGCTTGATTATCACACAATATCGTAGGATGATGCTTATATTTTAAATCTTCAAAAACATGAGCAGCCATCCAGCCAAGCTTAGACTAATAGTCTTCTTTATCAGTTCTAGGGTCAATTTCTTTAGCCTTTTGCAGTTTTGTTTCACTATCTATCGGTATTGAAGCTGGTTTGCAATTTTTTATGCCGTATTTTTTCTAAAATCTTCATTTTGTACTGGTATTGTAATAAACACAACCTTTTTTTCAAGAAATTTGTATAGGAACAAGGAAATTAGAAATGGTTAGGTAGTTTACTTTCAAATATTGGTTTAGGGTTTTTTTTCTACGATTTCAACATGATTTTATTTAAGTAGGTACAACGAACATAGAAGGATATGTTTTAGACTGGATTAAATTAATAGCATTTAAAACAGCTATTATGCTTTTCACACAGTAGTTTTTTTTCCCACATAATAAGTCAAAAAAGATAAATGATATGAACTTAAAATTTTCTCTATAAGAGTACGAAACCTATTGAATTTGAAGAAAATCTGAACAAAAATGGGGGGGTTAAGTGAGGTTGACATATATAAAAAATTCTAACTCAAAAACGAAAAATGATATAAATTTGAAATTTTTGGCAAAAATTAAGCCCTATAAGACGACAAAACCTATTCATTTTAAAAAATCTGAATAAAATGTGAGTCAAGGGGGTTTAAATAAAAAAAAAAGAAATCAAAAACCAGAAGCGATATCAATATAAAATGTTTAGTAAATTTCAAGCTCTATAAGGGCATGAATAAATAAATAAATAAATAAAAATAGGGAGATAAGGGGGATTGAACTATTGAAAAATATCCAAACTCAGAAACAAAAACAATATCAAATTGAAATATTTAGAAAAATCAAGCTTAATAAGGGGATGAAGCATATTGATTCTGAAACAAATCTGATTGAAAATGGGAGTTAAGGGGGTCTGTTAAACTGTGAAGAGTATAATATAGAATGCCAAGCATTATATATCTTCACTCTAGTTAATTTTTGATTTTACTGCATCGGAGATTTTTTAAAAAGCCCACTCTTCCTGGCTCAGAAATTACGACATCTTGTATTTTCATGAATACAATCTAGATCACTATTTAAAAAGGTGGTTTTAATGTCTAATTGTTTTGCAATCATTTGATTAGGAATACAATGAGCTAACAGTTTTCCTATTGTTTCATAAAAAATTAGTGGAAAATAAGTCTTATCGAAATCAATGCCAGGGATTTGAATAAATCCCTGTGCAACTAGTTTGAATTCGTATTTTATAACTTCTTCTTTCTGAGAACTTTTTTTCCTAAAAACCAACTTGCATCCAACTAGTTTTCCATTAGGTCGTTGTTGGCAAATTTCACTTACGTGGTTATCCTTAATTTATTTTGGTTCATCCTGCATAAATGAGATTGTGATCCTGTAATAGCTTCCGTATACGAACCTGGATTATCATTAGCGTAATGCAGGCATTTATCATAATAATCTGAAGACTCTAATCCTACAGCTACAAGTCTTGGTTGGACTATTTCTGAAGGTACATCAGAAATCACGTCATTTCTTCATTGTTTAAATCATTATCTTCGTTTAGTTTTGTATCGTTACTTTCTTTTATTTAGTCCCATGTATTTCTCATTTTCAAAATCTTAATAAACACTACTTTTTCTTCTTGTTTATAAAATTTATAATCTCTTGGAATTATTACTAGCTTTCCATCATCAAATTGATACCATCAATCTTTTCTAGCATAACCTACCATCACTCCTTCAAACGACCTGAGCTAAAATTTCTCTGTTCTTCTTTAAAGATGTACAAAAAGGTTTTTTTGTCGATGATTTTCAGATGAGAAATAAACGGTTGTTTCTTAAAAAAATGTGAGTTTATGTTTTTTGTATAAACGGAACACTCCATTGCTTCTGCCCGAAAACTTTGTGGCAACTTAAAATCAATGAAACATGTTCTTACCATTGTTGTTAAAGTTCTGTTTAAAATTTACCATTTTAAAATTTTTAATTGATTCCATTGCACCTAAAAAATTTTTTTCAGGGAACTAGTGCTGTAGAGCTGCAGAACTGCCAAATCATGCAAATAATATCTCATGTACATTTCATGGAAATTATTGTTAAAATACCCGTATCTGAATAGTTACTTTTGTTTTATAAAGATGACTACATGTATTGTCGTCTGTCAATGACAATGTCAATATAAGTACTTCCGGTAAATTAACCAACGAATATGCGTCCTAACCTGAGTTGCTATTTTAATTTTAGTATTGTTTGTTCACATAGTTATTCGTTTCACCAAACTATTTCCACATTATTTTCTCTAACAATTATTTCAGATAATTATTTACCACGTTATTAAATTTTTATGATTTTGTTTTGTTAGAAAGGGAGTATCTAAGGGATGGTCCCATATACATTTGTTCAAGATCTGATGACGGGACCTAAAAAAAAAAATCAGCAAACTCAATTTGTAGTGGCATCTGCACTATTTTGGATTCGATTTTTCAAAATTACTTTTATAACTAGACTGTGTTTTAAAATGGAATAACTGTCAAATACTAGTTCAATTTCAAACCGATCACCATTTAATTCCATCAATTAACATTTTAATAACGGCTCTACTAATTGAATAGCGAAAAATATGAGCCATTCCCATCGTAAAATTCACTTCTAATACGGATGCAAAAGATGTTGCTCGTCGTTCGTTAATAAATCTCCGCATTACCATGCGATTTGCATCAGACTGCAATAACCGATTAAATGGGAATCACCTGTAGATTGTGGAAATATGTAAAGTAGAGCAGTGACTTCATCTATTTACTGGAATGGTTTTTTTTTTTATTTAATAACATATACATAAACAGGAGTGGTCTAAGTACACATTCCCAGAATATGGCATCAATATTTATCTAACAAACAGAAAATTAGGAACAAATGGCTTCAACAATGGAATTCACTACATCCAAGTGATCCCTGAAATACCAAAAACTCCGTGGTTTAATAGTAAACAATGCAATGGAAGAAGGTACCTTTCCACAATCATACGGATGAAAACTGACCATTGTCTAACCCCATACCACCTATTTCAAATTGAAATTAAAGATGATTCATTTCGCGAGTGTGGAGAAGTTGGATCTTTAAATCGCATCATCTTAGAGTGCCCCATTAATAAATCTCCTCTTTTGGATTTGTATTTGGAATTAACAAAGGCTGGTTAGCCCCATTTGATATTCACTACATCTTGTCTCATTTGGGTGATAAAAAAATAACCACCCTTTCCAAATGTTTAAATTTATTTAAAGTCAATATCTAGTGAAAGCAAATCAACTTTATTTGGATAAATTGTTCGCAGTAACATAGCCCAAAAAAAGAAAAGAAGATTATAGGTTGTTTCTGTTTTGACATACTGTCACAGTAACACACACACATTTCCATTATCAATCAACAATGTTACTTACATTTCTAATGATCATATTAAACTTTCAATTCACTTTTTGCGAAGAAGAACCCCCACCAGGCCCCTTAACGGACCTCAATGTATGCAAAGTATCCCATTTAGGGCTAGAATACACCGGTCGTATTGGAAAAACTGAGTCTTTAGTAAGATGCCAATCTTGGACGTCGTCCACCCCACATCAGATCAGAGATGACATACTGGATACAAACTTTCCAGAAGGATCGAAAAAACTAGCCAAAAACTACTGCAGAAATCCCAGTAAAGATCCCGAGGGGCCCTGGTGTTACACAATGAGCACCGATTTACAGTATGAGACATGCGCGCTGCCTTTGTGTAAGTTTTCTCAATGTAAAGTTACTGGTCCAGGTATGGAATACGCTGGAAACCACTCAAAAGCGTCTTCAACCCGTAACTGCTTGAAATGGAATAAAGATAGAAACAAAGTAAAAGAAAATGGTTCCTATACATCGATACCAAAATTCAACAAAGCTTTATTCCCGGATGAATCCTTATCTGACGCTAAAAGATATTGTCGCAACCCCAGTGGTGATGTTGCAGGACCTTGGTGCTTCGTTGAAGATGAGGATTCTGGAGAAATCGAGAAGGAATATTGCAACATACCCTTTTGCGATGATCCAGATTGTCTGGTGTTCAGCAAAAATTCGAATACCTACATGCATTACACTGATTTCAACAAAACTTTGGTAAATTTGACTTTTGGTGTCAAACTTTGGGATCCAGATTTGTATCTACAAGCTACTGCAAGGCTAGTATTATCTCTGTTACCTCTACCTCTCACAGGGAAAGAAATAGAAGATGCTGGAATAGGTTTAGAGCTTCTTATAGCTAACAACTACTCTACGATAAGATTCGGTAACAAAGATAAGCCTGAATACGAACCAACTTTGGGAATATTAAAATCTACTTCATTTACCATGTTTTCTTTGAGCTGGCATCAAGGATTTATATCGTTTGGGTACGAAGGGAAAACTAAACCTATATTCCTAGCTGAATACCGAACGAAAGACAATCTTTTGGGATACAAAATGAACAAATTTAATTACTATTCTGTACAAGGTACGAATATTTTATGGTCGTTTCCATTTTGTAAAGACGATTTTGAATGTGACGCCCATACGACAACTGGTAGCGAGTTCCAGCAATTTTGGCCTCTACGCGAAAAAGGTGCTGGTTATGACTTGTACGTTTACGTAAGAGCACATCATTCAGCTTGCATTCTGTTCGTTCTTAGTCCCGTATTGGAATATCCTTACGTCAAATTGACTCTGTCGGGGCAAAATAATTTCACCAGGATAAGCGTAGTGGAGTATCAAGGTGCTCCTGAAAGAGGATTGCTGGAAATCCAGCTGGAAAACGTTTTGGATTATTGGAACTGGAGGGAATTTTCTATAAGTTAGTACTATTGATACAGAAAGAATAGTTAGTACTCATAGGGCATACAAAACATTTAAAATAATAATTTGTAGGTTTTTTCGCGAACATTATGTCAGTCTACATCGAGAAACCTCTAGGTTTGCAATCAATAGCAGAGGTGTATGATGAAGTATTCAAAAACGTTCGTTGGTTCAGCGTTAGCTCTATAAATACAGTGGCACACTGGAGCTTTTACTGTATCCCCCCGCCGGGCGCTAACCCACCTCAAGCGTTTTTACCCGAATGCGCTCTAAATGCCCAGGAACTGAATTATGGGGGCACCCAAGATGTTACTGAGACAGGTATGTAATTCTTTCAAGTTTATGGCAATAAAACTCTAATTAAAATATATCCCAGAAATTAAAATCAAAAGGTGCTAGATCTGGTGATCTAGAGATACTAATTAAACCATTGGAACAACGTAAATAGATCTACCACTATTATTTTTGATGCTACTGTAGGTTTACCATGTGTACCGTGGTCATCGACCAAGCTCACAGGCGAAGAAATCAAATTTCCTAACAATACTGCACTTGAGGTCTGGAATTACTGTCGCGATCCGGCTGAAGAAACCAAAGGAACCTACTGCTTCGCTATGTCTTTGTATCCGGAAAAAACTGTATCAAAAACTTACTGTCATATTAGAAAGTGCAAATCAGAACAATGCAAGATAGCTGGAACTGCCCATGATTATAGCGGAACTTTAAAGAAAACAAGATCAAACAGAACTTGCCTTACGTGGGTTCCTAACCAATCATTTAGAACTAGAAGAACGTAGGTTAAAAATTAATGAAATGTACCATAAATCCTGCTATTGTATCTTCTTTTAGAGCAAGCGAATTAAGTTCTAATTTTACTACTACTAAATCTCCATTGTTGATTCCGAGAGATTATAGAAATGTCTGGAACGACACTTTGTTCCCTGAAAATTCAGCAGCCAAAGCTGAAAATTACTGTAGAAATCCTTCCAGAATCCCTTCAGGTACTATTTTGTTTTTATTCCATTCCTCATAGGTCCAAAGCTTCTTCTTTCAGGTAGCTGGTGTTATACCCCAGATGCCAACGTTCTTGAAGACTCGTGTAACGTCAGAGACTGTGATAAACCTGACGAATGCATCGTTATACTATCAACAACTCAGAAATCCAGAAAAATATTCATCCTTCCTCAATGGAAGGAAACTGGTCATCACGGCGGTTTAAAGTTCGCTTTGAAAGAATGGAACCCTGATTATCAAGATGGAATCAACTTTCGGATTACACCCAGGCACGGTTTGAGCAGCATCACATTGCAAATAGCTGCTGATAACAATGAGAGGATTAAGCTTATCAAGGATGATACTGTTGTTGAACAGAAAACCATACCGCATCTGATTGGAGCAGGTAATTAAGTAATTAAATAGTTTTTTGTTTGAAATTTAACATTTGACAGGTAGATGGACGGATCTTTGGCTTCAGATGAGACGCGGCGAGATAATGCTGGGATTAGAAGGTATCCCAAACGCCCTATTCGAATGGACGAGTCCCAATAAGCACGAAGAATTCGAGCCGATTTTTCTAAGTTATACATCCATTACTGGAAAACCCATTGGGGTATCTTTTAAATGCGACGAATGCCACACCGAGAACACCACTTTAATGGACTTCAAACATTGGTTCCCCATAGGACTTTGGGCCGAAGAACAAGCTACTTTCAATAACTTTACGGTACTCGTTAGAGGTACTGGAGTAATTATAATACGGCTGATGAGAATGATAGAATTTCACAGCTTTTACAATTTAATAATCGATACTGATTACAACCAATTATCGTTACTAAAAATAGATAATTATTCCAAAAGATCAATACTTCAAATTGAGTCAGTCAAGAATTTAATGACAACAAACTCATGGACAAAGTACGACATATTCTTCAATGAAACGCATTTCATAATGAAAAAGGATAACGATACGATCTTATATCACAAAAGTCGTAAACCTCTTCTAATGTACTGGTTCACTATAGCCCCACAGATGGGTTGGGTCACTTGGGCTGCAAACTGCGAACCCATAGACTTAGACGGTCCGCCAAGAGATGGCGGATGGTCCCAATGGTCGCCGTGGACTTGCACAGCTCCGTGTGGTGGTGGTGACGGTTACAGAACTAGAACCTGTTCAAATCCAAGACCAAACATTTCTGGAAGATTGTGCCACGGTTCAGCAACCTTAACTGGAGTTTGTAACAATTTTCCTTGCGGTGATGTTAACCCTGAAACGTTGGAGAAGATCAGGGATCATTTGCAGCATCAAAATTTTAGTTACGTCGTTCGAGAAGGCGCCAGTCAGTGGTTGAGGAATGATAGAGACATATTGAAAGTTGTTGCTAGAGATTCGCCTAAAGCTTATTACGAATGGACTTTGAATGGTGTGTTTATTAAACCAGAACCTAATAGAGTGGTGTTCCAAAAGGATGATATCAATATAAAATTCGCACTATCTAGAGATTCTGGTTTGTACGTATGCATGTTGTTCAGAATAAATAAGCAGAGGGTGGTGATACGAGTAATATCCTTAGCAGTAATAGCATCTGATTATAATTACGACACCAGAGCTACTAGATCACTAAATATACCTTGTAACTCTGTTATTTTGGGTTATATCTACACCGATTTACGTCTTAAGATCTATCAAAATGATAAAGTCTATAAAGATCATGGTACAACTACTTTAGCAGCTGTTAATACTTTTTATTTTGAACATTTGAATGAGGAACATAGCGGTGACTGGAAATGCGTGGTTGAACAAAGGGATCTAAAATTATCTTGGGTGACTAATTATGTGAAAATTGACGTAAAGAAAGCTCCGAATATATACACTAATTTGATGGAAGATGATCTCACTAGACCGATTTTTGGTTGGATGAAGAGTGAGAAAATGGTGTTATTTGCTTTGTTTTGTATAGTTGCTATTGTTATAATTTTGGTTGTAGGGTTTTTGATTTTATATAAAAAATATTGTACTTTACATACTACAAGAAATAGAAGATATGGAAAATAAATATTATGTTGTATAAATAAGTTTTAAATAGAAACAAATTCCATTCATACTATACAGGCAATAATAAAAACAAAACATTTCTAATAAGATTTCTGTATTATTAATTGGATTGGAATATCCCCACAAAAAAAATCAAAGGGGGGTATATGTCAGGTGATTAAGGAGGACAAACCAATGGTTCTTCTTATTTTTTATTCCTCGCCGAAAACACCAACTTACTCCTACATCTAGCGGTTAAGGTATAATGATAAATCAACTTCTCTGACAAGACCACAATAATTGAAAAATGAGGATAAATAAAAAAAAAGAAAAAAAAAATTCCAAAGATTTTCTATGGTTTTCTAGGGATTTCTAAGATTTTCTACGAATTTCTATGAATTTCTTTGATTTTTCTTAAGAATTTCTAAGATTTTCTTTGGTTTTCTGGAGGTTTGCTTTACCGGCGCATAGATTTTCTATCGTTTTCTATGATTTTCCTAAGCTTTTTATGATTTTACATACTTTTATTTGATTTTCTTTGCTTTTCTATTAGTTTCCAATGATTTTCTAGGTATTTATAAAGTTTTCGTTAAATTTCTATGAAGTTCTATGAATTTCTATGAAGTTCTATGAATTTCTATGAATTTCTATGAATTTCTATGAATTTCTATGAATTTCTATGAATTTCTATGAATTTCTATGAATTTCTATGAATTTCTATGAATTTCTATGAATTTCTATGAATTTCTATGAATTTCTATGAATTTCTATGAATTTCTATGAATTTCTATGAATTTCTATGAATTTCTATGAATTTCTATGAATTTCTATGAATTTCTATGAATTTCTATGAATTTCTATGAATTTCTATGAATTTCTATGAATTTCTATGAATTTCTATGAATTTCTATGAATTTCTATGAATTTCTATGAATTTCTATGAATTTCTATGAATTTCTATGAATTTCTATGAATTTCTATGAATTTCTATGAATTTCTATGAATTTCTATGAATTTCTATGAATTTCTATGAATTTCTATGAATTTCTATGAATTTCTATGAATTTCTATGAATTTCTATGAATTTCTATGAATTTCTATGAATTTCTATGAATTTCTATGAATTTCTATGAATTTCTATGAATTTCTATGAATTTCTATGAATTTCTATGAATTTCTATGAATTTCTATGAATTTCTATGAATTTCTATGAATTTCTATGAATTTCTATGAATTTCTATGAATTTCTATGAATTTCTATGAATTTCTATGAATTTCTATGAATTTCTATGAATTTCTATGAATTTCTATGAATTTCTATGAATTTCTATGAATTTCTATGAATTTCTATGAATTTCTATGAATTTCTATGAATTTCTATGAATTTCTATGAATTTCTATGAATTTCTATGAATTTCTATGAATTTCTATGAATTTCTATGAATTTCTATGAATTTCTATGAATTTCTATGAATTTCTATGAATTTCTATGAATTTCTATGAATTTCTATGAATTTCTATGAATTTCTATGAATTTCTATGAATTTCTATGAATTTCTATGAATTTCTATGAATTTCTATGAATTTCTATGAATTTCTATGAATTTCTATGAATTTCTATGAATTTCTATGAATTTCTATGAATTTCTATGAATTTCTATGAATTTCTATGAATTTCTATGAATTTCTATGAATTTCTATGAATTTCTATGAATTTCTATGAATTTCTATGAATTTCTATGAATTTCTATGAATTTCTATGAATTTTTGTTGTTTTTAACAACACTAGATTTAAAAATTCTTTTTTTTTTTATTATAATTGTAAACTATTTAGTTTTTTTCCTGTAATTGGGTTGGAAATGAAGATTATTATTTTTTTTTTTAATTTGGTGTCATCGGCTTCGACTACTACGGCCATTAGCCTCGTGTTCTGTGTAGGCTTTGTTACTGTTTCCCAGCGCCACTTTAGGAACAGCACTGTTAATTAGAACCCAACAGTGAATGGTCGAGTGGGGAATCCTACCAAGGCATCAGAATTAATTTTAAATAATTAAATTTAATGAAAAAATCCCGGCCAACGGTGGGATTCGATCCTGAGACCTTCCGATCTCAAAGTCATGACTCTAACCACTGAGCCAACCCACCCCCTATGAATATTATTATCATTTTTATTATTTTTTATAAAGGGGCGGCATGGGCGGCATTTTTTTGCCCGGGGCGGCGAAACTGCCAGCCCTGTATACAAATTTATACAATTTAGTCGCTCCCAGATTCCACACTAATTCAATTTCCACACTTTATATGAATATACGTAGTAGCTACAGTATTTTCATTTATACCATTATCACTTACTAAATAAAGTAAGCAATCCTGTTTTCGCGGTAGAAAATCCGCTTACCGAACCCAATGAGGAAATAAAGAGCAACTCATCAATCAGCTATTAAGTTAATGATCCTTGGGATATTTTCAACCTGCAGATTATGACTAGATAAATAGATCGCGGCCGCACCTGAGTCCTCGGCTAAACGCGTTTACGCTGTTACACATTACCCCGCTTACATAACGTATATTATAACGTGTGTTTGTGTTGTACGAGAAGATAGTGGCGAGATAGGGGCTGTATACTCGTAGCCAAAAGTAAAGCAAAATGGGACACGCTATTCAGAAGAATGTTTACAAGTATTAAAAATTTAAAAACACCGACTTCAAAATTGTGCAGATGCCATCACCAGATCTTAACCAAATTTGTATGGGACCACCCCTGAGGTACCCCCTTACTAACAAAAAAAGAATCATAAAAATCGGACAAGGTGGTAAAGAATTATCGCTAAAAAGTACATAAAAAATGAAGAATTTGCGGATTTTCTGATGGATCCAACTAAAAGAGTTTGACTAAAGTTATATGGGACCACCCCTGAGTTACCCTCTTTCTAACAAAAAAAGAATCATATAAATCGGACCCAGACAGCACACCAAATCCTTTGGATAGCTACTGGACGTCCCAATATCCACTGAATGTGCAGTCCATGGTGGATATCTATTTTATATCCATGAGATGTAATTTATAGACATGCAAATGTCCATAAATAATAGTAATTATACAGTGAGCACCATAACTCGTTACTGGAGTCTTGTTAGGAAAATCGCCAAGACACGTCGATTTTTGATTTCTTCAATGTACATTTTTGTATGAATAGTTTACCCTTAATTTCATCCTTTACTGAAGGGGAGCAACCCTTTCGAAAAATTTAAATGGCATGTGATGGTGAGTGATAGATCATTTGAAAGGGGGTTTTATTCTCTATTCAACCGTGCAAAAAAAATTAAATTTGCTTCATTACGTGTTGATTTATTAATGTTTAAAAACAACAAAACATCACAAATAGGGAAGCAACTTAACTGACAGTGGCAAAAGTCTTACTTCACGTCTGAACCGAAACCGATATCATGCAGGGCCGACTTTTAATTCTAAGGATATTTTTTAAATGCTTTGACCATTACAATAAATTGCCGTTTGGTATTAAAGCTAGTTCGTCAGTAACAGTTTTTAAAAAGAAAATGATAAAACATGTTCATGATTGATGAAATTAGTGTAAAGTAGATTAAATGGGCAAATCTCTTTTAAAAATTTTTATTTGTTTGTATTAATATGTATATTTTGTATTTTAGACTTTTGTATTTGGAACTTCTATATATATTTATGTTTTTTTATATTTTGGACTTTATTTGTTTTTCTGTTTTGTTCAGTCATAAATTGTAATTTTTTTTTCCTGATTTTTGTATTTTGAATTTTGTATATTGAATTTGAGTTGTTGTTTTGTTACAAAAAAAATTGTTTGTATATTAGGGTTACCTATTTCTATTTCAATAAATAAAATAGATATAATTGTTACAATAGTAAAATCTAATTGTAAAATAACGTAAAATAATTCTAATTTGATGTATTGTTCTGTAGTTTTATCATTTTACGAAATTTTACAAAAAAAAAGCACTACTTTTGTCTACGAGCTTTCGTCCCTTACCTTGCCAAACGTAAACCTGATGGCACCGTCAATGTCAACGAACTTGCCGTAATCATACAGAATGGTTAAGTTCATTAAAAGGACGTTATAGTTCTAGCACGCAATCACAATAAAGAAAATTGCTACGCAAATATACGTCCAACAAATGGCTACATCTGTATGCGCTCCTGGATTAAATACGACAAGAAGTTTTGCTGAAACACGGGTCCGTCTGTTTTATGGAGGATATAATAAATTTAAATGACCGCACACGCCATACGCAAGCTATTCTGCTTGATCTGTTTATAATCTATTTCAAAATATTGTAAATCAGCATATCAGGGGTATCCCAAGGTTCTTACCTAGGGCCTGTTCTGTTTTATTTGTATATTAATGATGTTTTCACTTTAGTCATTTCTGATGTCAAACGTACCCTTATTTCGAGAATTAGCTAAAATTCGAAAGATTGAAAAATGGATGAAGAATCCTTATCTTGATTCAACCAATATTGGCGATTACTTTACTTTACGAGGGTCTGTGACAATTTTAAGATTATTACACAGACAAGGGGTCTGTATTCCATCCTTCAATGTATGCTGATGACAATTCATCAGTTTTGAAAGAACCACAAAAGCTTGCGAGTCTTTTAATTCTAATTGTAATTCTGGTTTGTATATATTTTTAATTATTCTGAAATATAAAAGCTAAAAATAAATAAAAGCTTACTTGAAAAGTTTTATTTTAACATGTGAATTTATTTCTTGGCAAATAATAAAATAATGAATTAATAGTTCTATCTACATACAAGATATATAAATACAGGTGTCCTGCAAGATATTTTGATTGTTCCTTGTCTGATTTTTTATGAGTTCTTACTTACACAATGCTAGCATAAATTCATGAAGCTAAAATATGAGAATCTATCAACAAAAGTTGATAGTTTCTAAAATGTAGGCAATGTTAAAATCACTTATTACAATTGTATTAAAATTACAATCACATAAAAATTAATTGGCAAAATAATCAAAAAAGTCTAAAAATTCCTTACAAAAACTACTAGGGGATCTGTATAAACCAACAACTAAGTAATT